TCATGTGATGGTCATAATATGTGGCCACCCAGCTCCCACCACCAGCTCGGGTGTCCCAGCCAAGGAAAGGAAGGTCCCTTGCAAACACGGAGTGCGAGTGATGTCTGGTGCTAATGCGCGTCTCTGCCCTTTGCCCTCCAGGCAGCCGCGGGGCAGCAGTGTCCCCAAGAGATGCATACTCTTAGCCAGGGCTTCTCCCCCAGGACACTACCCACAGGCACTGGGCATTCTGTGTTGTGGGTCATGCTGTGCACTGGGGGATATTCAGTGGCATCCTTGGGCTCACTCTATTAAGACAGTGGGATGTGCACATACCCTACTTTTGACCACCAAGAACACCCCCAAATACCCTCAGGAGCAAAACCACCCCAATGAGGATTGCTGTCTCAGACAGGGCCGAGATCCACATCTGAACCTGGATCATCTGCTTTTCTTGCTGCTGCCTCTTTGTGGGTAACAGTCCCCTATCTTTCCCCAGAACAAGGCCTCTACTTTAAATTCGTGGGGTATAAGGACTCCAGGGGCTCATTTATGGAGTGCCCATCAGCCCATGTGCCTAAAGGAAAGCAGGCCTGATGGAAATAGCCCCTCTGGGGCCCTTGTGAAGCCACCTGGGGGCTGGAGGCGGTGGGTGTCAGAGAGGGCCGTGAGGGCAGGCTGCTGGGGAGGCACGGCCCTTATGGACAGCTGCATGTGGTCACACAGGCTGCCCCGAGGCGCCGCAGTGCCAGGCCAGCGTGCCCAACCTCACTCATCACCCTGCAGATGGGTTATCCTGACTCAGTGCCGACTGGACACAGCCCGTACCTGTCTCATCCCAGATGATATTCGCTGTGAGTGAGTGACCTCAACATTCCCCCCGGGCATACCTGCCCCTGAAGGCAGGCAATTGGGTCCCATGATCTCAGGAGGCAACTTTTGGTTAGTGAGATCGAGGTCGATGGTGAAGGAGCTTCTGGTCAGAGACCACTGACCCGGGCCGCGGCGAGAGTGTCCAGAAGAGTGACCTGCAGAGTGAGGGTGTCAGGGCCAGGCAGCCAGGCCCGCAGGGGAGGCGTGCAAGACGTCTGGGAGGTGTGGCGCCCGAGGGCCTGCGAGGGCGGTGGTGCTGTTAACAGAACGTCAGAAGAGGAGCAGGTTTGGGGCTCCCGGATGACAGTGCATGTTAGACACGTGGAAGCTGGTTTGCTAACAGTGGACAGCGAGGCAGCGAGCCAGTCACAGTTCCCTCAGCGGCACCCAGCACGTAGCGACCAAAACGCCTTCAAAGGGCAGCAACCCCTGGCCAGTATCAAAGCCCAAGCGCCGCGCCCCCGCAGCTGCCCAGCCGCGCCCCGGGGCTCTGGCGCCCGCGCCGGGTTTGCCCAGCCGGGCCGGGCGCGGGTTCGGGCCCCGCTCTGACCGCTGGGGGGCGCCGCCGCCGCGTTTACAGCGGAGCGCGGCCCGAGGGCGCCGGCCGCGGCGGGCCTGGGGGCCCCAGAGCGCTGGGGAGCCAGGCCCGGGCCGGGGGTAGGGGGGGGTGCGGGGGGCGGTGTCTTCCTCCCCTTTCAGAGGTGAGCGGGAAGGAGACTGGGACCGCGCCGAGCGGCTCCCCGGCCTCGGCAGCGCCATTTCCCGGGAGTCGCTGATTAACGTGGAATCAAGTCCGAGCCCGGGTGGGGGCGAGAGCCCGGGGGCTCGGGGCTCGGGCCGGGGCCCCTGCGCTGAGGCGCGCGGCGGGGGCCTGGGGGGAGGCTTGGGCCCGGGCCCCTGCGCTGAGGCGCGTGGCGGGGGGGCTGGGGGGCTCGGGCTGGGGTCCCTGCGCTGAGGCGCGTGGCGGGGGGGCTGGGGGGCTCGGACTGGGGTCCCTGCGCTGAGGCGCGCGGCGGGGGGCTGGGGGGCGAGGGCTGGGGTCCCTGCGCTGAGGCGCGCGGCGGGGGGCTGGGGGGCGAGGGCTGGGGTCCCTGCGCTGAGGCGCGCGGCGGGGGGCTGGGGGGCTCGGGCTGGGGTCCCTGCGCTGAGGCGCGTGGCGGGGGTGCTGGGGGGCTCGGGCTGGGGTCCCTGCGCTGAGGCGCGCGGCGGGGCCTGGCGGTGGGGGGGGTGGGCGAGGGCCGGGCCCCTGCAGTGAGGCGCGCGGTGGGGGGCTCGGCCGGCCCGGGGAAGCCGCGTGCAGGCGCCAGGCCGCGACCTCCGCTGCGGCCGAGCAGGATCCCAGCTGTTCCCAGCCTCGTGTCTCCCCTGACATTTGCGTCAGCAGCTCTGCCCTTTGACTTTTAATTCCCGGGACTGGAGGGTGGTGGCAACCTTGGCGATCGGGACTCATTATTTGCGGTTCGATTCAACCAGCAGTTTACTGGGTCTGCTGGCCGCCCGCCCTCGCCTCCCACACCCCCAGGTTTATGGCCTTGGTCTCCTCCTGGAGCTGGGAAGAACAGAGGAACCAGGTGTGGCTCCCCCCGGTTCCTCTCTGTCTCCGAGCAGCCTGTGGGAAGTGACGCTTATAAAAGTGCTTTGAGACCCTCAGATAGAGGGGGTGTCACCAGCAGGCCCACACCCCCAGGGCGGACCTGCTCCCCTCTGGGCTTGTTGGGACATGTCCAGGGGTGGACTGGGCAGGCCCAGGAGGGCCGGGCTCCCACTTAACTGCGTCAGGGGGTGCAGGGATGGGAGGGGTTAGGGGTGGGGAAGCCTGTGGGCCTCCCCAAGCCCTGGGTCCCCTGCGGGTGTCTGGTGTCCTTCTATATTTGGCCTCGGCATTACCAACATGCCCTCTTGGAGGGGCAGCCCGCCAGCCAGACCAGCCCCGTGTTGTCTCCTCCAGGGTCGGGGCTATTTTAGAACCAGCCTGGGGGAGCGGGGGTGTCAAGGGAGACAGGGGTGAGGTTTAAGGGAACATTTCCTCCTGGCTGTGGGTCAGAAGGGAGGCTGAGGGGGTGTGGCGTGGAGAGCCTGCGGTGATGCCTTTCTCAGAATTCCCTGTACAGTTACTCAGATGTTCCTTCTGCTCAGGTGTCCTGGGAGTGCCTGTGCTCTGGGGCGTGTGGGGGCAGGAACCCTAACCCCTTCTCCCCTGCCCCCCATTTTTTCCAGCTGTTCAGATATCAATTCTCAATTTAATAACCACTCCTTCCAAGCCGGGTCTCGTTGAAAACAAGGTGCTCGCTCGAGGCCTAGGCCTTTGGGTTTCTCAGGTCACTAACATTTCCAAAAACCAGTTTAGGATCTCATGTGGTCACCAGTATCTTATTTTTCCGAGTTGAGGACATCAAAAGGAAATGTCACAGGAAAGATGACACACACATACACACTTTTAAACATACACACAACAGAAAGTACGGAGCTACGGTGAAGGGCAGGCCTTCAGACTGAGTAGGTCTAGCTTTACAAAAACCTCACTGTATTGTCCTGGTTTTCATTTTGCCACAAACAAAAGGAGCATGGCGACAGCTGACAGTGCACCCTGTTGATGGGCTCATGGTCTAGGGACCGTCTAGCCAAAGGGGGACCTCCCCCCAACGCTTTATCTCCAGCTGTCCTGCAGCAGTCACTTTTGCTGCCTTTTGTCTTCTCACCCCACCCCTCAATTTTTGCAGGAGGGGAGGATGGGGCGTGGTCTTCACACAGCTCCAGGATGAAGATTGCAGACTGCCTGGCCAGGTCCACGCTGGCTGGCAGATACCTGCCCTGGAGAACCAGAGGTGGCCACCTCCTCTAGGAAGGGCTTGGGGCGGGGCTGGGGGCCAGGGGCTCAGGAGGCCGCTACTGCCTGGCCTTGTGATCTGAGACTTGTCCCAGAACCTCCCTCCCGGAGCTTCAGTTTCTTGTTCTATAAAATGGGTGTATTAACTCCTCCTCACAGAGCTACTGTGGGGATGAAATGAGAGAACGTTTGTGAAAGTGCTTTGTGAACTATAAAGCTGAGGCAGGGGTAGTTATTATTATTATTATGGGAAACTAGTAAATGGCTGAAGAAAGAGCACCCCAAAAGCTGATCTCAGCTTCTGGGTGCAAAGACAGTGCTCACACCCACCCCTAGGTCTGTGATCTCGGGGCCTCTCCAACCCCACAAAGGAGCAGCACAAGCCTGATCCCTGTGAGTCAAGGCCTGTGCAAGACCTTCTGCTCAGAATAGGCCCAACCTCTGGCTTGGAGAAAAGGCTGACAGCGGTAGGGCTTCTGTTTCCACTGCACAATTATTTGATGTCCACCGCTCCCCAAATTGTAGAGACATGTGGGAGGGTATCCCCATGAAGGAGGCTCTTTTAGGTAATGAGAAGCATCAGTCTGAGGACTCCGAGGAGGTGCAGGCCTCAATTTCGAGGCTTTCACAAAGGAGCTGTTTTCAAGGGTTCTATCACTGTGGGATGGAGTAGAAAACGTGCCAGCCACGGTCCCTGGCCAGTGCCACCACTTATTCTGGCTGTGGGGCTTGGGACACACCCCTTTGCCTCTCTGAGCCTCCCTTTCCTTATCTATGAAATGGACAGGAGTTCTTATCCCATGGGGTGACAGTGAGCTTATATGGGATCATGAGTGAAAGGCCCTGAGGTGTGCTCAGAGGTTCCCTTCCCGCATCTCCAGGAGGTCCTGGCATAACCACAGCTCCACAGAGGGAGTGCCAAGTGATCCCCAGGAAGTGTGAATCTCCCCCACCCCAGACTGGACCCACAGGCCCTGCCCCAAGCAGGGGCAATGGAGCAGGCTTCCACCCCCCAGGCAGGCCTGCTCCCCACCCCGACCCCCAGCTGCCCAGCAGCTTGTTGTGCAGTCATGGCCACCTTCCCTAGGCTGTCCCCCACCCCTGCTGGCATTCCATTTGTCAGAGAGGCTGGAAAAGCTGCTGACTCTTGCAGACCCTGGGTTCATTGACTGGTCAGGGCCCACTGGACACAGGCTGCCCATTTGGCCAGAGGGGGGCTTGCAGAGTGAGGGGGAGCCCCTCCGGGCTTTCATCCCCTGCCTCAAGCCCACCCAGTCCCCCTGCCCCAACACATACCCACCCCCACATAAACATACTGGATGGACACAAGTGCAACCCCCACTAGTACACACACTAGTACACCCCACATAGACAGTCCCTCACACCGGGAGGCACTGCCTGCTGCACATGACCACCCCCACATGGCACGCTCTTGCACACGCAGCAGCAGGTGTGCGGCATGCTCACAAGGGCACACCCAACACACACAGCTCTTCCTCACACATGGGGTGAGCTGTTGGCCTGCCTATGGCCACTCCCACCCTGCCCCTGGCCTGTGCCCTTGGGCTTTGTCAGGCCAAGGGTGACACCCACAGGGTGAGCCAGGTTGGGGGGTTTTCTGAGTCCACAGACTAGAATCCAGGCAGAGTTGAAACAACTCACCCCAGTGCACCCCTCTGTTCTCATTTATGGAAACTGTGGCCCAGAGAGGGCAAGGGAATGGTCAAGTCACACAACCAATGTTCTTCCAAACACTTCAAAGCATGTGAGAACATGGCAGAAAAAGAAGGAGGTACGCAGCTCTCCTGGCCACAGCCTTCCTCCAGCCTCCTGACTCGGTTCCTCTGGTGTTAGGCAGAACCAGGCCTCAGCTGGTTCCAGTCCTAGGCCTTCCTCCAGGATGACTGCCAAGATTGGGCATGGACTGAGACTTTCATCCTCTGCCCTGGGTGCAAGGTCATTTGAAACTGGGCAGGGGACAGCACCCACTGTTGAAACAAGGCCTTCACAGGCTTGGGGTGCTAATGCTCACTTGGTCTTGGCCACCTGCAGCAAATGCAGTCCCTCAGCCTGGCCCTCTTGCTCCCTGCCTCAGTCTCCCTCCCCAGGACTCCCAGCCGAAGACCCACAGCAGCTGCCGAGAATGTGGCTCCATTAAGGGGGCCCAGGCTCGAAGGACTGATGCTGCGCTCTTGGCACCATAAGGTAAGGGTTTCTGTCTGGCACCTTGTGGTCCTCAACAAAAATGAGCTGGATGGGTGGGTGGGAGATTTAGTCTCCCCACCCCAGACTCCCTTTACAATGGTTCCTCTAGCTGATAATCAGGAGTTCTGGTGTCCCAGCAGCCTCCTTCCCCTGGCTTTGAAGAAGGGCATCCTTTGGCCAGACTCTGGCAGGGGAACTTAGGTTGTAAATCAAACTGCCACCCATAGCAGAGAAACATTCTCAGGCCGAGAAGCCACAGAACAGAGTAGTTCTGGATCTTCCTGGTGCCTTTCCCCCCAATGGCACCCACCTCCCCCAACTCACACGTGGCTGTGTCCGCCCTAGCGAGCCACAGGGCACGACTCTGGGTCAACATCCTGCTTCCTGCAGGCGCTGCTGGGAGGCTGGGCGCCTGCGAAGGCACAGAGGGGTGTTTGTTCGCAGTGGGCGGTGAGGAGATGCTAATCGCAAGGATGGCTGGGCCGGCTGAAGGTCAGGAGGTAATGCGACCCGACCTGCAGTTATAAATAACCTAAATAACCCCAGGCAGCCAGAGCACAGGCCAGCCCTGGAAGGGCGCCCTCCTGGTCCAGGGACAGGGACTGACAGTGCCCTCCCTGCTCCTGGATCTCTGCAACCTGAGCCCCACCAGCCCCAGTGCGGTGACCTCTGAGGGGGAGAGGGGAGGAGGCCCCTGGGCTTCCCTTGCAAGAGTGGAGAAGCAGGTGCCTTGGCTCCCTGCCCTCTGCTGCAGGTCACGGGGTGCATGGAGTGTGAAGAGCTCCATCTGGCCACCCACCCCAGCCTGGGGGCCAGAGGGTGGAGAGATACTGGGGGACATAGCCTAGGGACCCCTGCACTGGGGCCCCCCACACCAAGCCAGCCCCGAGCCCCTAGTAGCCCTCACAGCTCCAGACTGGTGGGAGGGAGACCCAGATAACCCAGCCCGGAGGGTCACTCTGCACCCCTCGGACCACTACTTTTAGAGCCTAAACTGAGGCCTGATCGGTGATGGAGGGATTCACCTTGGGGATTGACTGTAGGGCTCCCAGCATTCTCCAGAGTCTGGGACTTCAGAGTTTCAGAGACTGGGAGGGATTCTGGTGGCACTGGTGAGAGAACCCAGCACAGCAGGGTGCCTGTCCCTTTCAGACAGAAAAGGGAGGTGGGCTTTATTTGTTCCAAGATGCATGCTCTTTGCCCCCACCCCCATTTTTTTTTTTCTTAAATTGTTTGTTGAAGTTAAATGTTCATATGGAAAAGCTCATAAAGTGAAGGGGGCGGATATGCAGGAGTTGAGTAACCTGTAGGCAGCCCAGAATAGAGCACCTTGCCAGCTCCCAGGCACCAGTGACTTCACTTACGACCCCAGCCATAACCTCTCTCCTACCCCCTAGCCCTGGAGGCGACTGTATCTGCTGCTGAACCCTCCGGAAGTGGACCCCTTCAGGATGTGAGCCTTGGTGTCTGCTTCCTTTCTCAGTGCTGTGCGAGATGGCCCCTGGAAGGTGTTCATCCTCAGGCTGGCTGTGTGCCACTGTGTGACCATCACAGCGCTAATGGACATCTGGGCGGGTTCCAGGTCCTGGCTGTCATGAACAGTACCTCTCTGAACATTCTAGTTCCTGCCTGTTGTGACTACGGGCAAGAGGGATTACAGGGCCCAGGGTGTGTGATGGTTCAGCTTTGGAAGATACAGGAAGTGTTCCTTTTTAATCAACATTTTAATAAGGATGTCCCAAGGTAAGTCTTTGTTTTTCATTCTAAAAAATGAGGGAAGTACGTCATTTTTAAAAAATGGAAAATACAGAAGTGTAGAAAAGAAAAAGAGTCACATAGACCTACTATTTAGAGTCGGCCGTGCAGCCTAACACTGAACAGAAAATCCCTACGAGACTCTTCTGCCTCAGAACCCAGACAAGAGAGCCGGTTCCTTGTTGGTAAGGTCCAGGGCCTGTCAGCGCCACAGGGCCCAGGGTCTGTGAGCCGGGGCCCTGCCCTGCGTGGTCTCCATAGGCCACAGCTCTCTTAACATGGTGCTCCTGATAAAGCTTCCAAACAGACCCGTACAACAGCAAGGCAGTGGCATGGGGCTGGATCCCGAGGAGCTCATAGAGATAGGAGACATGGGGAGGCTGGAGAGATGGTAGAGCCAGAGGCAGACACAGCTGGACTTTGGACTTTGTCCTGAGGAGGTGATGGGGTTGGAATAGGGGGTGGAACAGGCCAGAAGTACTTTTTCGCAAAAGCACCAAAACTCTGGATCCCTGTGGAAATTGGTTTTCCAAGGTCAGGCCCATTCTGAGCTATGAGGCCCTGAGCTGAGCTATGAGGCAGGACATGGTAGAAGAATTCTGGAAGGAGCTGGACCATGGCTGGCTCTGGAGTGTTGGGGAAGAGGTCTGAGGTTTCAGCCTTCCTGGGGGAGGGCACATGATGGGATTGCCGGTTTGCAGGACGGTGTGATTGGCTCTTTGGTGAATTGTTGGTGAATTTCTTTCCTATCTTTAGCAGGAGGTTCCACTCAGGTCTAGAACTTCAGAGTCAATTTGGTTGGATCTAGTCAGTTCTAGGGACTCTAGGCAGTGAATGGTGGTCATTCATTTATTGACTAATGTTTATGACACACCAACCTGTCTGGGGGATACATTGTTGGGCAAAACAAGGCCCTCATGGACCCACGCCTTCCCCATTCTAGTGAGGAAGATACACACACACACAGATCTTAAGAAAAAAGTAAGCTGGGTAAGAAAGTCATGGGCAATGATGGTAGGGGGCAATCTATTTCAGACAGGGTAGTCAAGAAGGCCTCTCTGGGGAGGTGATATCTGAGCTGAGAAAGTAAAGGAATAAGGTACTTAGATGTTTGGGGGAAAAGATTCAGAGAGAGGGTACAGCTAGTGCAAAGGCCCTAAGGCAGACACATGCTGAGTGTTAGAGGAGCAGCTTGGAGACCCATGTGGGAGCACTGCATTGAGGACAGCTCTTAAAAGTGGCCTGGACTGGGCCTCCCCGGTGGCACAGCGGGTTGAGCACCATGCTGTAAAGCTGTCTGCAGCCTCCGGCCAACCAGGGAGATTCCCACATGGCTCGGCAGACTTCTCCTGTCGCCCCCAGTCTGTCTGCCTGTTCTGCTCCCCACTCTGTCCCTGGTGAATCCTTTCACCCCCCTACACCTCTGGCCTGTACCCCAGCTATTGTATAAATAAAAAAATAAATCTTAAAAAAAAAAAAAAGTGGCCTGGACTGGGGTGGAAGCAGTCAGGGTGCTGAGGTGTGGTCTGACTATATAGCTTGTGAAGCTGGACTCTGAAGCATTGGCTGATGGGTAGATGTGGGGTGTGAGAGGAGGGGACGAGGTGCGGAGGGCTCCTGGTGAAGGCTGCCTCAGGCCTGTCAGCCTCTCTCGAGCTCCTCTCTGCTCTCATTCTCCCCTCATATCTAGGACCCTCCACTCCTTCTCCAATCCCTCACCTTCCCCTTTCTCTCTTCTTCCCCTCGCCCACCTCCTATTCCAGGAGTCCACTGGCCTCATGCTGTCACCTTCCCCAGGCCAGAGATGCTGCCCTCAAAAGTTACCCTCCGTCCATTCAGCAGTCCTGATATGACTGTGGTCAGGAGCCCCAAAACTGGGAGCTGAGGAAAAAGTACATGTTGCCCTCATGTTCCATCCTGGGGCACATTCTGCTGGAGGGAAAGCCCAATACTTACTCTGGGGCAGTTCTATGCCAAGAGCCCCAGTGATCTCTCGGTAAATCCTGGTCTAAAGCAAAGCCAAGCATTTTTAGGGAGCTAATAAAGTGCTGACTGGGATTTGAGGCCAGCCTTTCTCAACGCTTCCTCATCCCCTGTCCCCTCATGGTTGCAGGCCAGATCCTTGGACCTGGGTTCTGCTCAGGCTGAGTGCATCAGCACTGCACAGGTCTGTGCCCATGACCTGGGGCCACCTGTGCTGGGGGAGATGGCTGGTCTGGGAGGGCAGAGACCCAGTTCCATCCTGTCCTCAATTCTCATTTCATTTCCAGCTCTCTCCCTGAGCTCCAGACTGGGTGGGTGGATGATGGCATCTTAAACCAACATGTCCCAAATGTGAGCTCCTGAAACCCCTTCAAACCTGTCTCTCCTCCACTCTTGTCCCAATTTTAATCACAATGTCCTCCTTCCAGATCATCAGGTGAAAACCTGAGCATCATCCTAGCTCTCATCCAGCATCCAGTCTGTCAGGAAGGCTATCAGCTCTGCCTTGGTTCCTGTAACATTTGTACCCCCACCTCTCCCACATACCCTCTGACTCTCATTTGGCTCCAGCTACATTCGCCTCTATTTCTTTGCATACATGATACACTTCCCTGCCTCAGGGCCTTTGCACTTGCCATTCCTTTTCCTGGAGTTCTCCCCTACCCTAATATCTCCACGGTGTGCTCCTCACCTTCTTTAGGTCTTCACTCACACATTATCTTCTCAGAAAAGCTTTCATTTACCACAATATTAAAAATCACAACACATACCTAATGTCCAGATCTCGGGTTCTAATACCATTTGACAATAAAAGGAACCAGGGATTCTTGGAAAAATGGCTGATTCTAGGACTGGGGCAGGAAATACACAAGAAGCGCCTAGAGCAAATTGCAGTGCCAGAGAGTCAGGAAGTGTTAAAAAAAAAAATTTGATCGGGGACATGTCAAAGGGATCCGGAGCCAAGTGAAAGTGCTCCCAACAGCCAAACTGGAATAATTGGAGGAACAAAGTAAAATACGATTGGGTTATAAATCAAATGTAAAACAAGTATCTGTATGTCAATTGTAAGGGATTGCATTAAATTTCTAACTTTGTTATTAATTTAACAGTGCAGAAAAATGCCAAATAATTTATGTAGACACTTTATTTTATTTTATTTTAAAGATTTATTAATTTATGCATACAAGAACGGAGGTACTGACCAGAGGTGAGGGGAAGGGGCAGTGAGGGGATTCACCAGAGACAGACTGGGGAACAGAACAGGCAGATTGACTGAAATACACTGCTGAGGGGAGCAGTGGGCGAGTCAGGAGAGGTCTGCTGCACCATGTGGGTTGCTCCCTGGCTGGTGATCAAACTCGTGCTGCAGTGGCTGCGGTTAGCTTCATAGGTTGCATCTTAACTCCTTGCGCCATCAGAGAGGCCATAGACACTTTATTTTATTTTTTTTTAATTTAAAAAAAAATTATTTTTATATTCCCCATACAATTGCACCCCCCTTATTTTGACCCCAACCCCTCCTTTCCCCGCCCCATAGACACTTTATTTTAAATGCGGGTGCTTAGCCCCCACCCCTGAAGTGTGAGCTGCACACAGCAACTTCCTTCCCAAGAAGACAGCGTGGAAGGGGCCGGGAGATGCTGTAGAGTGGACAAACCAGACACACTCTTCCCTTCTGTGATCTGGCTTCCAGAAACTCAAAACCCCCGTCTGCTCGTGAGGCAAATTCCAATACAAAATACCAAATAGCCCACCTCATAACTGCCAGGGTGGCCACACACCAGGCAATTCCAGAATCTGCCACAGTCAAGAAGAGCTGAAGACAATTGAGTATAATATGGTGACCTGGATGAGGCCTGGGAAGGGAAAGGGACATTCGAGAAATGAAGGAAATCTGAATATAGTCCCTAGTTAATAATAACATATCAATATTGATTCATTGATCTTAACAAACGGGTTATTATAACAGGTGTCGATAATGGAAGAAATTGTCAGGGGGGAGGGGCTTAGGGGAATGCCCTATCATCTTGATTTTTCTGTAAATCTAAAACTACTAAAAAAAAATCTATTAAAAAGTTACACCCCGCCCCCATCCCAATCCTTAAATCCTCTTCCCTATCAACATTTAGCCATATATGGGACGTAGGTACTAAGTGAATATCTGTTAACTCTATAATATACGACCCTTCAAGGTTTTGTCCCTTCACTGTTATATCCCCAGCACCTAGAATACTCTGGCAAATAAAAGGCACTCAATAAATATTTGTTAAATGATAATTTTCTTAAGATAGTTACAGTTAGTTTTTCCAGCGCGCCCCCCCCCAACACCTAAATACATTTATTATTGTTTTAGCGTAAACACAAGGTTATGTTTGGCTTATCTGCTATCTTCACTTGATAGCTCTTGGCTCTTTATCCTTCTTATTTTTCTTTTACATCATTTCTTACAGGCCTGAAGTGCAACAAAAGGCTGTGATTCCAGGGGTGAAGTCTTTGGGGTGCCCCTCTCCCCTCGCTCCACCACGTGGCCACGTGGGCAGGAAGGCTGGCGCCGCGCCAGGGCCGCCCTCTGACATCAGATCCGTGGGCACTAGATCCTGCTTGGTGGTGAACCAGTGCGTCAGCACCGGGGATTAAATAGCTTTCCAAATCCTCCCGCTTGTCTGAGACCAGGCAGAGGCCCGGGGCCATGCACAGACCTTCTGCCAGCTCAGGAACAGTGGAGAACACCAGCAGTGCACACACTGGGAGGATCGGGGGGCGGGGGGAGGCCTGCCACAGACCAGGCCCAAGATTGATGGACTTTGGGGGCGGGGGGCTGCAAGCTGTCAGACCCTCTGTCCATGCAGGCGGGAGCTGGGGAGTTTATGCTGCTGGCATTTTCCTGATGGGAAGGGGCAGCTGGCCAGGCTTCTGGGGAACTCAGTTTGTTAGGAGAGGGAACTCTGTGTGTGTGTGTGTGTGTGTGTGTGTGTGTGTGTATGTGTGCGTGTGCATCAAGGAGCAAGGGGTGTCCTGTCTCTGCACCCAGAGGCCGTCTGCTTTAAATCCAGACACTTGTCCTCCTTGCTAGCAATAGGGAGCCACCCAGGCTCTGCTAGACACATGAGCACTAAAGATAAAAATACTCGAAGGACATATGCTTTCTGTGAGCTGCTTTGCTAGATGTGCTTAGGAGTCCTTCAGCTTCCCTCTAAACCACAGCCCCACTCCCTGCCCTGCTCCACCGCCCCACTTGCACACAGGGCCAGGGAGGCTGTCAGGACCTCAGGGCCTGCGGTGTGTGGCAGACGGACCCGGGAGCCAGCTGGTGTGTGTGCAGCGGGGCTGTGTCCACCTGTGTGTCCGCCTGTGAGGCAGGCTGTGCTCGGGTGTGTGGCTTCTGTGTGTGCATCGGTGTCGTCTCTGGGGTGCCCCTCGCCCCTCGCCGGGTGCCCAGCAGGGCAGAGGGCAGTGCTACTGTTTGTGTGTGGTGCACCTGCTTGTATGTGAGTTGGTGTGTGTCCTCAGGTGTGTGCCTCCAAGTGTGCAGGTATGTGCGTGTGCCCAGGGGCCAGGTTCTGAGACAAGAGATTAACACTGGCCCCACCGCACCTGCCCTGACACACCTGCCTGTCCCCTCCCCCAGCCTGTTGGCAGGACTTTGTAAAAAATTTCTCATAGAGGAGGTGGCCTTTGCTTCTCTCACACCTTGTACTCCATCATCTTGGTCCTGTTTCCCCCCACTGTGCCTGTGACGGGCCCCTCCCTACCCACTCCCCACCCCTCACCCCCACTGTCAGGGCTCCTGAGAGGGACGCTGGGAGGAAAGGGCTTCTAAGTCAAATATTCTGAGTCAAATACAGTAAAAGCTGCCATGGTTCGCTCATGTGGTCTCTGTGCCTGAGCAGAGTAAACGTCCAGAGAAGTCTGAAGTAAAGAAACTGGATGTAGTTAGCCACACACGGGGGGTCCTGGAATCACCTGGAACCTGATTTGAAGTGAGAGTGCCTTGCTGCAATCAAGTCTGTGGGGTGGGTAGAGACGCCCCTCAGGCCTCTCAGGCCCCTCAGGCCCCGCAGGCGGGGCAGCCTCCTGGCTTCTACTCCCACCACCCACTCCCACCACCGTGTGGGTGCTGCAAATGTCCTCCTGACCGGCACTGTGCAGACACCTACTGGGCCTGTCTTTGCATTGGGGTGCCAGGCTTGGGAAACTCACCCCAATCCTCTGCCTCTGGGGCCACAAGAAGTCCTGGGCTGGCCCAGAGGTGTCAAGTCAGGGGACACTTCCAGAGCGTCTGAGGGCTCGCATTTGGCCTGCAGTCTGGGAGCTGGCGTGCAGGGGCAGGGGGTGGAAGGGGGCCTTGGCTCTCTGATCCGCCTTCAGGAGTGGAACCAAGTTCCTGGCTCCTGGCCCAGGGCTCTGCCCCTCAGCATTGGCCTTACCAGCCTGGGTGTCCATCCCTTCTTCACCCCAGGGCGTCAGATGGAGCCTCAGGGGCTGCAGCAGCTCTCACTGTGTCCAGAGAGCAGGACAGAGTGGGGAGGCCCTTGCTCTTGTCTCTCCCTCCCCCATAACACTGAACGCAGATATTTAAAGCAGTGCAGGTAATGCCCGAATGTGGCCTCATTGAACCACTCAAGGAGTACAGAAATAGAGTGAACCTCAACTGTCTCACTGCTGCCCCTCAGGCCTGGCCCCCATCCCAGAAGTAATCGTGTTAACCTTCAGAGTGTTCCTCCATTTCCACCTTTCAGGGTTAAAAAACAAAACAAAACAAAACAAAACACCCACTAGTGCAACTCTACTCTGCATTTTTCTGTGCCGGCTTTTTAAAAGTTTGAATCTCCACATGGGTACAGCCGGATCGCCCCATTTGTCAAATCTGCCTAGGGTCTTGCTGCGCCCCTCATTTGTTGGACGGCTCCCCAAGATAGACGTGCTCCCGTTCATGTCTATTTGCTATTCCAGAATAAACAGCGGGGCCACACGCTTCTCAGCAGATCTCGGGGTGGGGGCGCAAGCGTGAGAGACGGATCTCTGCGCCCCACACTTCAAGCGCAGAGGAGACGACCAGCGCGGGGGCTCGAGCTCCTGGCGCATCCCCGCGCCGCGCCCTGGGCGCGCCCCTCACCCCCGCCGAGCTCCCCCAGAGCCTTTCTCGCGGCCCCGAGGCCGGCGTCGGAGCCCGTCCGGGTGCGCCCCGGATCTGGGCCGGTCCCGCCGGCCCGTCTTCCAGCGCCCGCGGCCCCCGCGCCTGCGGAGCTGCCCGCGCCTCGGAGGAACCAAAAAAAGCCGGCGCGTGGTGCGCTCGCGAGCGGCGCGGGGCCCTGGTGCTGCCGTTTTTAGTGCGCCTGGAGCCCAGAATATAGACTTAATCACCCCCAGGAAACGCGGCCATCGTATTTTTGGTTGCATAAGCAAACTAAATTAGAAATCTGGAGCGCGTTCAAGACCTTTAGATGCGAGCGCGGGCGACCAGGGAGAGACAGATGGGGATTAGGCGAGTTGAGCATCAGGAGAATAATTTCCTCTTTTAATTTGGGTTCCATCGACAAGGAAAGCAGCATTAGCGGCCCCGTTACGTAACCGGCGCCAGAGCCGGGCTTGGAGAAGCGTCTGCCCCGAGCCGGATCGAGCCCTTAGGCCTCTGCAGGCAGCTGTCTCAGCCCGAGGGGGGCGGGCTGGGGGGGTGGGGTGCAGCCTGCAGGCGCCTCTGGTCTGCAGCCCTGGGAGGCCTCCCTTCTCTGGCCGGGGTTCTCAGAGAGCTCAAGTGAGCCAAGCCAGGCTCGCAGCTCCGCACTTGCATTCAGGAATTGGGCTTGACCCAGGGTGGACAGTTGCGCTGCAGAATGCCGCGCCTGGGCCAGCCCGGGGAGGGCAGAACACAGCCTGAGCATGTCCATTGAGGAGATGGACTGCACAGTAGGACATCGGGAAGGAACAGGGAACAGGGACGTTTGACAGTGAGGCGGAAGGCTGACGGAGCATCCCCACGATGGCATATTACAGAGCAGGAAAGACGACTGGACGCCTCTCTGTTCAGTCATGGGACCTGTTGGAGACATGGATTAAGTGCAAGAGCAAGCTGACCTACAACACGAACAGTATGATCTCGTTAGGTTAAACCAACCCACCAACATATCCCTAGCAAAGCTGCCTCTTTCTGCATCTGCAACGTAGGTAAGAGCTGGTGCCTTTGGAAGGACTGGTGCATGGAGCGGGCAGCGGCCTCTGCATGGACGCAGGGCACAAAGGAAGGTCATAGGGCAGTTCACATTACACTGTTTATTTCAGTCCTACTTATATTTCCCACCCCACAAAACAAATAAATAAATTTCCCACTTCAGAATGTACTGGGTGAGCCATGTCATTAGGAAACAAAGCCCCAAAGACTCGGAGGTTGGGGAGCAGCCTTGCAGATGGAGGCTGAACTCCGCCTCCTATTGCTTTCTCAGAAAGCAAGTAGGAAGGTCAGGACCTGCTGAAAGATAGAGCAAGCAGGATCTTAGAGAATATCTGGCCCAGCACCTTGTTATCTAAACAAGAGCACTGAAGCCCACGACAGGAGTGGCCCCAGCTTCTCAGAGCGGGCAGCGGACACACAGAGTCAGGAGGCATTAGCCTGCGGCTTTCCCATGGCCAGCCCTTCCAAATATGCCCGGTTGATGGTGGTTCAAGAGAAGGAGGCAGGAGGGAAAGACCACGGGTAGGACACATTTACGCACTTATCTCCCTTTTTCTCCGAGTTATTCATGTCCCCATTTTCCCTTTCCCTTGTAAATAAATCTTTTATCAACCTGTTGTATATGTCTGCAGTTTAGCATTAATAAGTCCCCTTTAAGCACGTGGGTGAAGACCCACAGTCAGGCAACCCCATTTTATATCGGGGTTTGCCCTGTAACACTCATGCGGAATAGCTGAGGGGCATTTTGGCACCTATCCATGCAACCATTTATCCAACAAACATGTTACTATGGGGGTTTTAAAGTATACCTGCATATTCTTCAACACTGTCCCCATTGAAAAGTGGGGGTCTCTGCCCCTTCCTCTTGGAGGCTGGCCTCAGTGACTCACTTGTAACCCATGCAAGGCAGCGGTGATGGCTGCCTGACTTCCAAGGCTGGATGGAAAAGGCCACACAGCTTTCCTCTGACTCTCTTGGGAGGCTCCCTCTGGGGGAAGCCAGTAAGAGGCCTGACAGCACTGAGATGGCCCTGCAGAGTGGGTCACGTGCAGCACTTTAGTCACAAGCCAAGTCCCAGGCCAGTTACCGGCATCAGTCGCAACCTCTCGTGCATCCTGCCCATCGAGCCCATGGCACATCCCAAGGGATAGCTGCCTGATAAGACCGCTTTCCAAATGCTAGACCCACAAAACCATGAGCAAAATAGAAAAGCAATTTTTAGCCACTAAATTATGGGGTGATTTGTTGTAAAGCAGGGAGTTTGGGGGGTTACTTCGCCAGGCACTGTGCAGAGGGGTAGGATGAATAAGCCTGGTCTCTGCCACCAATAAA